AAAATAAAATTAAAAATACTGTGAAATAATATATTAATTAATATATAATATGAACATTAAAAAATTAATATATAATATGGCTTTAAAAAAAATTCATAGTAGATGAAATGATTGTTATGTATTAATAATCTATATTACATATAAAAAGTTAAATAATTTAATGATAATTTTCTTTCACTAAAAATAAAAAATTTTAAATTTAAGTTACATAATATGTGAAAATATTGAGATAAAAAGATAAAAGAGATTTATCTTTCGTTGTGTGTAATCAATATAAAAAAAAATCTATTTTACAAATTGCACTGTTTCGCTTTTTTTTTTTTTTTTGAGGAATGCACTGTTTCGGATTAGCTGATACTTCCTCCAACATGTAAAGATAAATAAGAATATCCCATCTTTTGTACACGTCCATCCCAATGGGAAGCCAACGGTCACGATCATCATCAAACTTGCACGTTACTACATTTAAATACATTCAAATTTCTCCTCTTCCTCCTCGTCTTCGTCCCCTCTTTGCCAGCCTTGCTTACATTACATGGGCACTTACTACGGCCGGTCAGCAACCACCGTACATCCTCAACCACCGATTTCCATTTTTTTGTTTCTTCTTTTTTATAAATTCATCTCCTCAAACGCGTCTTCTCCTCTAATTTTATTTATTTCTTTAAATTCTTCCGCTTATCTTCCGGCTTTTTATTTATTTAATCCTTGTACGTTTTTTTATTTTGAAATGCAAGAGGTTCAAGTTTCTTGCAATGGAGTAGAAGGATTTTTGAAGTGTTTCACTGCAATGCCGGCTCATATTCTGCCCAACACGACCTTGTTCTTCTTGTTTTGAGATTTTCGGAAAGTAGCTGTGGTCTCTTCTGCATTTTTGAATTTGAACTGAAATTAGGGTTTATACTGTACAAAAAGCAGCATTGTAGTGTAAAGGAGACGGATGATCTTCTGAGACCGGAGAAACCAGCTCAGTATTGCAGAAATTCAATTTGATTCGGTGATTTTTGAAGAAATCGATGTTGTTCCAGAATGCCGAGTATTAGAGCTCCAGCTTCGAAGAAAGCCACAACACTGACGGTTAGTTCTTGTTTTTCTTGTGTAGATTTTCATTGCACTGATCGATTTTCAGTGCTTTTCGTTTTGATCATCCCTGGCTTCTCTGCTATACAGGTTGCCGTAAAATGTAGACCGTTGACGGAGAGGGAATGTGGTCGGAGCATTGTTAGAGTGAATGAGGAGAAGGTTTGTGATGATTTTCATCTTCATTAATATTTTAAGTGGGATGAGTGGTTTTTAGTAAGTTGTTTTTGACTTGCAGGAGGTGATTGTATTGGATCCGGACGTTTCAAAGGACTACCTTGATCGCAATCATAATCGAACTAAAGAGAGAAAGTGTTGTTTCGATCATGCCTTTGGTCCTCAGAGTACAAATTTGGTATGTTTCGTTTGTTCGAAGCCTTTTTTAATCCTGGTGGTGAATAATTTTTGTATGTTGGGAGATTTATTTAGTTTGAAATCTGTTATGTATTTCAGTGTCATCTTAGCATTATGCTCTATGATTCCCTAAATCATTCATACTAAACACATTCCATCCTGTCTGTGTGTGTGTGTTTTGAATGTGGTTGCAGAAAAAAGAAATCTAGTTGTCATTGCTATTTTCAAACAATGTGCTTCTTTTGTCTAACTCTTGGTTCATAAAATTCAGGATGTCTACCAAAAATGTATATCTACTATAATCTCAGGAGTTGTACAAGGTCTAAATGCAACCGTATTTGCCTATGGTTCAACTGGAAGGTATCCCAAAGCTGTTTTTATGCTCTTGACCAAAATCCTAGATTTTCAACTTGCAACTTTTTGTCTCTGCAGTAGCTCAGCAACTTCACTTTAGTGGTTACTGTGATTAATGTTTATAGTTAAAAGCTGTGATTTTTTTGGAGAAAATAACTTTTTGAGTGCCTCTGTGGTTGTATTGGAAACAAAAATTTTCAACATGTTGGCTTATCCCTAAATATGTTCTTGACTGCAAATAAAATTTCTACCATCAAGTCACATTTCGCTTAAGTGGTTTCAAAATTTGAGACATGTAGTTCTAATTCAGTCTATGGTCACAACAATTATGTCCTTGGAAACAAACGTTTTCAACATCTTGGTTTATCATTTTGTATAATCTTTTACTTTTCTTTAATGTTTTATTTTTATTTTATTTTATTTTATTTTATTTTTTGATTAATTAAATTATAGAAGTGAACTAGTTCATAAATTGACAGTGGTAAAACATATACAATGGTTGGGACACGAGATGATCCAGGATTGATGGTTCTCAGTTTGCACACTGTTTTTGATCTTATCAAAAGTGACAAGAGCTCCGATGAATTTGAAGTTACTTGTTCCTATCTTGAAGTGTACAATGAGGTGGTGATCATTTTTTATTAAGATTATTTGTCTTTTTGTTTTGTTATAAACCACTTTTAACTTTTCACTTTTCAACATATTTAGGTTATCTATGATTTACTCGAAAAATCATCTGGTCCTTTGGAACTTAGAGAGGATCCTGAGCAAGGACTAATTGTTGCTGGGCTGAGATGCATTAA